AATAAAAATGATGTTATATTGACTTATGAACATAACTATCAAGTTGCTGAGGAAGTCTCAAATAGAGACGAAACGTTCAACGGATAAATATTGTGTTCACCTTAATTAAACCCGTCCAAAAAAACAACTTCCCTAAGAGTAAACTTAGTAATAATATTAAAACAAGTAATTTTTTCCTCGGAATAACATAATATATGATATAATACGAGATCGATCATCGTTTGACAAATTTTTTTTGCATCCCATCAATGAAATTTTTTTCTTAATTTTTTTAAATTATTTTGCTTCTCTATATATAAGGATTTTTTTATGAATAATATTACAAGTTTCGTCTACTTGTTTTCAACCCCCTCTTCAAGGATTTATAATAAATTATTTAGAATCAACAATAAGAGAGAGAGAGAGAGAGAGAGAGGGAGAGAGAGAGAGAGAGAGAGAGAGAGAGAAAGAGAGAGAGAGAGAGAGAAAGAGATGTATTTACCAAGATTTCTCCAACATGGAATCCTCTGGCGATTGGGATTAGCTAAGTGTGAAGAAGGTGAAAGGTTAAATTAAAATAAATTAAAACACGTGGTTGAGCCAATAGAAAGTGCAATACTCTATTGACTCGGCAGGAGAAAGCCTTGCGGCATAAAAACACTGATTGATATTTTTCTATCAAGGAGACCTTATAGTTGTGTACCAAATGATTTTTACGAGCTTTGATATACAGTAGTACACCTTTAAGGTATACTCCCGGTAAAATATTAGGTTGGGGAAAAAGAAATCTATTATTTTTACGTGAACTTCAAGACTTTATTTAACATGTTTTGAATAGTCCGATTTGGGTCAAATATGGACCATTTTGGTCTATAATTTTTTGCCATTTTAAAGATATTTTTACAATCTTCTCTTAATGTCAATTCTTATCACTAAGGAAGTTTTGCAATGCAAGGAAAACATGGTAATTGTTTGGTGCCAGGTCCGAACTATACGGTGGATGCATCAAAACTTCCCAACCAAGCTCTCACAGTTTCGGGTGAGTCACTATAGACGTGTGTGACCTGGCGTTGTCCTAATAGAACACAAAACCTCTCTGTTAGCCAATTTTGGACATTTCTGGCCAATCGCTAGCTTCAAACGGTCCAGTTATTGACAGTAGAGATTCGGACTTTTACGGGTCCCATTTATTTTTATTTTTTTTATTTTTTTTTTTATTTTTTTTTTTTGCACGTAATTAGCTGTTACAGTATCGAGACCATAATCACCATTCACAATTTTAGCCGCCTCGCTCGCATTTTAAAAAAGAAAAACTAAAAAGAAAGACTAAAATGTACCGAATTTTCTCTCCGTTGACTTCCATTTTTAACACCCTATAACTCAAAACTGAATGGACCAAACAAAAATTAGCAAGAGAATATTTTTAGTGTGAAATGTCACCTTTCCAACGAGCATAAATCTGAAATATGCTTGATGTATACTTTACAAGATATTGATCACTAAAGGCATCCATCGAAAAAATAATGGATTTCTTTTTCCCCAACCTAATAGTTTATGAATTTCTTCTATTAATCTACTTCTCCTCCATTTAATTAGTTCCGCCGGAAACAAGTCGATACCCAGTGCTATATAAATCTTTAATTTTTTGATCGCGCTTTTTACTTCCGAAATTGTCGTTTCGTTAATCATAAGTTCTACCGCGTGGAGCTCACAACTTTCTATTTCCTGGTCGTTTTCAAATTAAACATTTAATATCCGGTCAAAATAGTTTATTCCACGTATTTAGTATTCCCGTAGCATCTGTAATCAAATTATTGTCCCTATCTTTCACTACATTTCCGATCCTAATTTGGAATCCCATTCCCTAAAGTTATTTATCCTCAAATATATACCACAGACGTTACTATTTTGGTAATTTTCATCAATCTCTTCTATTTTCTGTTTTAGGTATTGTCTCGATTCTTATTTTTTTAATATTTATAATGTTACGGGAATGATTCTGGGTTTCTGTAATAAATGATTTAATTTATTTTCTATCTTCTAAAATCTAATTTTATGCCTACCTGTAATAAACGAAACAACATTAAAGTTTATTGTTTCCCACCTATGCCAGTTCTCTCGTTCTCTCATCTGACTACAATAACACGTTTATAGGACCGTAGGCACGCTGGCAAAGAATCTTAACAGCAGAAAAAAATGAATAAGTACTCCTAATTGCTCATTAAAATCTCAATAAAAATCCATAATTGCTCAATTGAATAATTAGTTATTTCATTAGTTATTAATAATTGAAAAAACCAAAATTTTTTTTCTTATTTCTAAACAAAGCAACGAAGTTTGCTACAGCAGAAAAAAATGAATAAGTGCTCTGAATTGTTCACTATTTGCTCAATCAAAATCCATAATTGCTCACTTTCTAATAATTAATTATTTAATTAGTTATTAATAATTAAAAAAACAAAAACGTTTCCTCTCATTTCTAAGCAAAGCAATGATGTTTTCTTTTGTTTTTAATCAATTGCTCATTTTTTGTTTGGCCGGCCGGCTCCTCAACTTTTATTAATTAATTATTTAATTAGTTATAAATAATTGAAAAAACAAAAATGTTTTTTCTCATTTCTAAGCAAAGCAATGAAGTTTTCTTTTGTTTTTTGTTTTTAACACGTTATCGGGCGGCGATTATAATTAATAACGTATTATGAACATAAATTTTTCTCAATAACACACACAAAAATTCAGTATTATAAATGTAACTTAAATTCGATAAAATTAACATAATAGTTCAATATTATTTTATTTTTAACTTAATGATTTATTATTTTTTGTGCAATTTGTTGAAACATTCCAAGCAAAGCGCTGGCTGACCCTCGCAACGACCACAAAACGTCTTTACTCTTGTTGTATTGGCAGTGGCATAATCTCTGCCCTTCGTTTTGGACAACTTTTTGTAGCATTCCTTGCAGCGTTTACGGAACTCTCTTGCCGACCCCGTGTGTGATTGAAGAATATGTTTATCTGGAGGTATATGACAGTTTATTTCTTCATTGTCTAAAAGGCGATCAATGATAACTTCCCTAAATTGTAGCATGTTCATATTTTTAGTCCCCCATTTTTTGTGAATATACCACGCATTCACGAGGGAAGTTCCGCATATTAATTGTATAATTACTTTTCGGTACCATTTAATCGTTTTTCGTAAACAACTGTAATACGCCGATAGTTGATCTGACATATCTACACCTTTTTTTTTGCCACATTATAATCAAACACGGCATCAGGCTTTACTTTACCATTTGTTCCTTGTACCAATTTACACTGGTGATTTTTTACGGTAGTTAAYATGCAAACTGGTCTTTTGTCAGTCCATTTAAGAAATTTTACACCGCTACGATTTTCGAAACTCATAATTTCCCCACGTTTTTGTTTCTGTTTTGCCTGTGGTGGTAGAAATTTTTTGTTCATTTTTATAGTACCACAAACAAATGTACTGTTCTCTAAAAGTTCTTCTCCCAAAGGGGGACACTTGTATAATAATTATTAATAAAAAGTATGCGGCCCTCAAAGAATAGGCCATTTAGTAACCTCATTACCACATCATAAGCATGTGATTTTTTATTGATCGTTTCAGTTCTCCCGGCATAAATTTCAAAATTATAAGTATAATCTTCAGGCAAAAATAATTAGTATATCTTTACGCCGTACTTATGTCGCTTGCCTGGGATATATTGCCTAAAACCTAGGCGTCCTCTCCATGGAATCATACTTTCATCGATGACGATATTTTTACCARGTCTAATAGAGCTCCTAAACGTATCCACAAATGCTTCAATAACGTCTCGAATTTTSTTCAACCGATCTTCATTTCTGGCAGTGGTATTGTTCGAAAAATGTAAATACTTAAGAATCGATAAAAAACGGTCACGTTTCATTGCATTTTTTATGCGTAGGTTTGTAAACATCTCCTTTCGAGACCAATATAATCTAATATCTGGTGATGGCATTACACCCATAATCAGCAAGATGCCAATAAAAGTATTCATTTCATGTTTTGTAACAGGCTTCCAGGGCAGTTGGTGYGTTCTACTTATAAATGATGAATTATTTATGCATTGTGCAACATATTTGTTTGTTTCTTCGACTATCTTTTCTAGTATGTAATCCGTAAAGAATAATCTGTATAAAGCAAAATGATCATTACAGTCAGTGTCTTCACGTAAAAATGTTTCTTCTTCCGAATACTCATTTACTAATGAAGTTCTTCCTTTTACTTCTTGCCATTCTTCATTGTTATCCTCGTTCTCTGATTCAGATACCAAATCTTCCCCCGAGAAACATTCCATAACGTTGCTGTTTACATTAACAAAATCTTCGTCTGAAGAGGAAGAAAGTATTCGTAATCTTGATACGTTTCTCCTACCTTTATTTACACTTAATCACTTATTTCCATATCCATGTTTTGTTTTTCCAGCTCCTCAACTTTTATTAATTAATTATTTAATTAGTTATAAATAATTGAAAAAACAAAAATGTTTTTTCCCATTTCTAAGCAAAGCAATGAAGTTTTCTATTGTTTTTTGTTTTCAATCAATTGCTCACTTTTTGTTTGTCCGGCTCCTCAACTTTATTTTATCAAATATTTTTTATTTATCGCTTATTAGTTGAAAATAATTATTACACTTTGAATAATTTTAAAATGGCGTCGTCGTGAGTGGAGATATGTTATACGCATGCGCAACCACAAAATCAAAAAGCGCACTTTAAAAAAAATGAAAGTAAAGTTGGTATACCTGCAGGGATATGTTTAACCAATTAACTGTGTCGATCATTTTGCAAAGTGCGCCCTAGTGTGTGTCGCGATAATCAAGCGATGACGGATATTGTCGTCAAACACAGAGTAAGTGGCGCTGTTGAAATATTGGGTCAAAAAGACGATTTTATTTAGAAAATGAATGAATTTATGAGTAATATTTAAACAATGGATCAACGTAAAGCTATATTTACGCATAATTAATGAAAAACTTAAAAAAAATCAAATATTTAACAAACAAACAAATTTTTTTTTTTTTTCTTTGGTTAGACATCGCGGACATCATCGCAGATGGAGAATCTAATATACTTTGTTTTTTTGGTTATGACACGTCAAGATAAWAATCGGGATAATCAAAGATCTAGTGTCCAACTCAAATTATCTATAATTTTCATTTGTTTATTTCATTTCGTCYTGACCCCTAAACATTCTAAACATATTAATATTTACGAATATAATTTAGTTTTCGCCAGAATTACAATTTAAATATCAAATTGTATCAAAATTTTACGCATGACGGATATAGCCGTCAAAACACAAAATTCTGCCATTCTTCCATGACGGATACAGTTGTCAAACACACTTAACTGGTTAAGGTTGATTTCCAAAGTATAGTAACAACCACGGAGACTACACAAGGAGCACGAACTCCATGTATACAAATGGGATATAAAAATAAGAGGGCACCCGTATTCTATTTTTACCAAAATGGGAGGGAATAAGGCGGCAGTTTGAAATAGAAATAATCATACGAAACTATAACGGTAATCATTTAGGTTGTTTAAGTATAAATAATTGCAATTAAATAAACAATTATCTAATAATCGTAAAAAAATGAGTAAATAGTAATATTATTAGTAAATAGTAATAGTAATAATCGGTACGTTACTATTTCAGAGCAGTACAGAACGAATATTAGCGACACTAGTGGTGAAAAAGGAAAACTTAATTATACGATTTCTTTTTACATTATTCTTACTGTGTAAATATTATAATCCTTAAAATAATTTATATTTATTATTTGCAGAATCTATATAGACTATTGATGTAATTTAGTTTTATGAATATATTGAAAGGATATTTATTAAACATAATTTACAATTATTATCCTTTTGAGTCGCATTATTTACATTATTTAAAATTAATGAATAAATTTCTATAATAAAACATATAATAATAAAGAAATTCTAACGTTAGGTAGTTTAGTACGTAAAATGTTTGGAGTTTGGTGCAAATCATCTAATTCAGTCTATTTGTTTTGGATTATACGAGTATAAACCACAAAACGTCCGATGCCATCCCGTAAGGACGATGGTCGGAATACAATAACTCCAGTCAGCCAATATATTTTATTTTGAATATTAAGTGTTATAGGAATTTCCTGCAAATTAGTGTGATAATTTGTTGTTTGAAGAATAGTTTGCTTCATTAAAATGATCTATATTTAAAAATAGATAAGAATCAATTTCCAGTATACGACAGGTTACACTTTTTTTACAGTTTTTACAATAAAATGTTTCTTTTTCGATTTCATTCAAAACACTTTGCTGTAAAAAATAATAATCATTATCCAATATTAATCGAGCGTTAACGTTTAATACTGATATTTCTTTTATTTCAAAAGATTCACATAACATGTGATTTCATATAACATGTCCGTTCAATGATAGATTCATAACATCTCAGAAAATTTTGAATTAATTTACTGACATCACATCTATACAATTAATAATATATATTGTTTCTCAGGATACATTTTTCTTAAAAGATGAAATCTTTTACTGTAAAGGTCTGAAATAGCACCAAATAAGGCGTATAATCATAAGACTTTTAGAAATTTAGAATGACTATTTTTAATATCAATAAAATATTGATAACTTTTAAAATTTAAATAGGCAAACGATAAAACTTCCACTATGCTATCAAACGTATAGGTATTGCGAAGTGATAATGTTTATTTACCAACTTTATGAGATCCACATGTGTTACCATTTTCAATCATTTTCCGTTTTTTTATTGTTTTAGACTTGATAGCTACTGCATTGTGATGGAATAACGTTGCTGCTGGAAATGGATTGACGTACTTTTTCTTGCCTTACTGGCTGGCACGAATCAGTGTTTCAGATTTTTTTTTGCATTTGAGTGGCGTTTTAGATTCCCAAATTTTAAATGGGGTTAGTTGCTCGTCTATTACTATTGAATAACTATTTTCTTGATTATGTTTATATGAAACATTTGGAAATAATTGTGGTGTAGAATGAAATTTTATCTGAAATTTAAACAATTATCAAATTTTTTAGTTACAATAAATTTCATTACTGGAACACAAATTAATATTTATTGATAAATTTGAAGCAATTTAAGCACCCACACTATCGAAAGAATTAACAACAGAGATAGACTGTAATTGAAAATCTGATGACATACTTACATCATTTGATAAAATAATTTCTTTAGATGATTCAAGTTTATGTAGCGTTCCAGTTTCATTAGCATTGTTTCTAAACTTTTTTAATTTTTCTTCTACTTCATTTACAGAAATTTCCGAAAACATATCCTCAGTAATATTTAGTTCAACAGTTTTGTTAAGTTCATTTTTATTTTTCCAATTTTCTTCATAGTTCAGCACACTATTGCCTATCACTTTTTTAGTGTTATGTAATGTAAGCATCTGTTGTTTGTCATACGCAGCTCTTCCTTCTACCATTCTTGCCGAAATTGTTTTAACATGTTCAATTAAAAACATATCTGCTCGAGTTGGATGGTGACTATCTAAAACATTATCTTTAACATACCTAAAATAATTTTCACAACGGGACGAAGTAGTAACATAATTTTTTGATCTGTAATGTTTTCGCATCACGTTTGTCCAAGATGGAAATTGTTTAAACAACTTAATTAGTGTCTGTAATATTGCTACTAAATAATAAGGGTTAATATCGTTAAACCTTACAGAATCATTAGAATGAATATTGTTAGAAGTTTCTTCTACAAGTTTATCAATATAATTTGATAATTCCAAATCAACAGATGAACTTACAGCCGCAGAATAATCATCTTCTAGGTCTTCATCATGGCAAAATAAATGGGTATAACAAAGAAATTTGTTATCACAACTACTTCTTTTTATAACTTTTTTGTAATCACTAGCTGTATCGTCAAAACTAAACGTTTCGAATTGTTTTAATACCCATTGAATATCGTTTTTACACCCATATTTGTTTTGACTAATGTTTAATAAAGCTTTTATCATCTTTTCAACGTCCGACAAATTTTCGAGTGTGCTCATTAAACCAATAGCTCTTAGATAGAAATCTTTAATTTTAAATTTTTTGAATAGAAAACATTTGTGCGTTGACACGCTATGAATCAAATGAGCAATGTCAATCCTTATGTATAATTGTGGCAAAGTTTTACTTTTCTTCATTAAAAATTGAAAACAGTTGGATAAATATTGTTTATAAGTCAGGTTACAAAAAGCTAAACATATTGAGTTTTGTAGATCTGCAGACATATTCGTTACTACATCTAGAGGTATTCGAGCTTTCGATGAAATCCATTCAAACAGCCAAAATGTCAGGATGTTTGTGTCATGCCTCTCCGATAACATCTGGCAAATTGGAATGATTAGATGATCGATATGTGTGACAATTTGATATAGAAATATTGGACCTTGATGACAATATTCAGCAAATGGTATTTTTCGAACTACACCTCCAGTAGCATCTATGGAAACTATCGGGTTAAGTTTAATTAGATCGTTATATAGATCAATTTGCTGATGAGTCCAATACATAATAAAAAATTTATCATATCCCACTTGTTTAATTACATCAGCAAATTCTAAATTATTATGCTTCAAGTGTTTTAACGAGTCAAATAAATTTTCTTGAATACCAAGACGGTTTTTCTTCCGTTCATGACGTATCTTATTAAGAACAGGTACATTTGGGATAATAGGAGCTGCAACGTCACCATACTGTTGATATGTTTCTATGAGCTTTCTTTTGAATTGTTCTCCTTTCTGTAATTCTAATTCATTTGCAAACTGATGTCTCTGTTCTCCAGTAATATGTCGTTTTTTGGAATGAGGAATTTTGAAAGTATTTGCTGTGTGTATTAGCATGGACACATTTTCATCATCATTGAAATTAAAAATACATTCTCCAACAATATCCGCATGGCATACTTTTTCAGTACATGAGCCTACAATTTTTAGAATATATTTATCAATGTTATTTTCATTGTTAAGGTAAATAACTGATTGCCGGGAAAATTTGAACGCGCAAGGTAATTTTTGTGTGACATATATTAAGTTTGAAACAATAGTTGTCCAACCCTTTTTTGACGCATAATATTTTTTATTATTATATTTGATTTTCTCGATTGGTTTAATTTTTAACCATTCTTCTTTAGTAAAAGTTATATTAAAACTTATATGTTTTTCTTCGGTTTCAACACTTTCACTTGATTCATCACTCTCTGGATAAAAAATATCCTTATCTTCATCGGTGTTTGGAAAATTTAAACCTCGCTCCTTTAAATATCGATCGAAAATATTATTTCGGTTTTGTGTCATGTCAAAATATAAAGCAATTGGTGTTTTTAAGTATTTTCCAGAAGGCATTTTCCAAATTTCACAAATA